AAAGGAGTCCTCCACAGAAGCCGAACCCTCCCAAATTGCAGCCTTGTTGAACTCCGCGCTGACGAGCTGTCCCTTTGAAGAAATCTACCTCCTCGCTCTTCGTCGGGTCTGCGCGTACTTCTTTGACTGTTGGTATTCTCACGGCCATCTTGCCAAGGAGGATTTTACTCATTGCCCACATCATCATGCTGTCATGTATTTTTGCGGCAGAGTTGTTGATAAACGGTGCAATCGTCCTCAGCAGATGGAACAAACGTGGCACACCAGATAAACGCAGCAGTTGATAGCTGGCTTGAGGGTCGTCAAGCGTTGCTAGGCGGAGTATCAATTCCGCCGGGTCACCACGGGCGATTTTGGAAACGAAATTCCTCTGGAACTCCTCTGTTCCTACTGGGATCCCGACAACTGGCATGCCACCTTCAGCAACTGACAGACCAATTTTCGTCAATTGTTGCTGTTCGTCGTTTGTCAAAGAGGACATGCAAAGACCTTCCGGGAAAAGCACTTTGGATTTCGGGAGACTGAGCTCAATGCCTTTTTGGGAGAGACGTTCCTGAATCCAATTCGTTGGGGTGGATATGGCCTGCATGTTCCTAGCCAAACCTGGTGGAAGATGTGCTTGGAGGTCGTCGACGTATCCGATGAGTTTCACTCCTGGCACTGGTGGCTTGTTGTTGAACTCTTTCATGATATCAAGAAGTCCTACACAGAAGCCAAACCCTCCCAAATTGCAGCCTTGTTGAACTCCGCGCTGTGAAAGAACAACCTCGATCGAACCATCTTCCATTTTGAACAGAAGTTTCGCCTTGGTTCGAGCGTAGATGTTCCCGAAGTACTTCACCAAGTGTGGCGTATGAGTGGCCACTGCTGGCAAGAAGGAAGATCTGCGCATGCTGTTGTAAGCATTTTTCCCATCAAAGGAGAGAATGGTGCTGCCTTGCTGGTGGCTGAGGGTTGCTGTGGATATGTTTTTTTTCGTTAGTATCACCACTATTTTTTTTCCAATACTTAGTCGAAGAACGATCCCCTTTCTGTCGGCCTATTGCTACTTTTAGGACACGATTACGTGTTGTAGTCTATGCATCTAATACGTCCATTTTGACTAGACTGTACATCTAGGCTACCCCGAGAGTGGGCCATGAAATCCCGAATCGACCGTGTGCAAGGAATATACACACCATTGAACCTGGTAGTGCTCTCTCACACATGCACGTTGGGGTAAGCGAGAGCGAGGCTGCCACAGAGGGGAACGGCTTCGGCGAAAAGTCTTTGTTATCGCCCTCCAAGAGTCGTTGCGTTGTTTGTCCTCCGGGCTATCTAGTGAAGTCTAAAGCTCGCCAGGGACAGCTACTTGAAGATCACACACCTGAGAGTGCGTAGTGCCCTTCGGCGACAGGCAAGAGTGTGCAACTGTAGCACACAGCGTGTACAACCGTCTGGAAGTGAAAGCACCAGATATTCAAGTCATTCGAAGCTGTCATCCGCACACAAGGAAGTAAGCACGAGATGCGTAACACCCCCAACAGGCAGGATGTATGTTATAGCTCCAGTCGTGCTGCACCTTTGGAATGTGAAGTGTTTGACGCACCCATCCGCCGGGTGAAGTCACAGGAGGAAGGTTAACACTTTGGATGCAGGTATTATTCCCCCACCTTTCTCTCCCGATGATGCGGTGATCTTCTGCTTGGAACGCAGCACCACCGAACAAAACAATTACACAATTCTCGTGCAGAATGGGTTGCAAAATGCGCCCAAACTCCTTTTTCTCGGTGCGATTACATGAGGTCCTTGTTGGTTTCTCCCTTGGGTAGATGGTTCGCTTTTGACCGCTCAACGAAGACGCCCGCGTCAGTTGGACCAGACCGGTTCGGATGTTTAAAAGGTACTGAGCAGAGATCGGAACGCTTCGTAATGCGTGCGAAGACAATAAAGTAGCTCACAACAGCAGCAGCATCATCTACAACAGCAACAAGAGAAACCCACATCACAACTGAAACCACACACAAAAACATGGATGTTCATGGTAACTCACTGCCCTCCGCACTCCATTTCGACATCTGTGCCAACCCCCCCGGCCCACCTTATCCCCCCCAGGGCGCCGCATCATCGAGCATCATTCGCTACACTACAAACGTCAACCGTCTCAACAAGGGGGGGGGGGGGGGGGGGGGCNGGGGGGGGGGGGGGGGGGGGGGGGGGGGGGGGGGGGGGGGGGCTACAAGTAGCAAAAACCGCCGGCAAACGGGGTATCGCGATTCCGCGCTAACCACGTGCCATGGTGTGTAGATATATTGACAAACAACGAGAAAAAAGTCAGTGTGGAAACCGATGATAACCTGGAGGGTGGTGGTGGCGTCCAAGCTCAACAGGGAATGGTGCCAACAACGTAACGACCAAATATAATACGGCCTGCACTCTCTAAGCGGCCCGACACCATGCACAAACGAAAACCCGGGCACAAAAAAATACCAAAGAACAGTTCGCACGACCGCAAGCGCGCGTGTTGTTCGTGTGCTACAATCTGCTCCAGGGGCAAGACCTCCCAGGCTAAAAATCTGTCACAGATGTATCTCATTTGAGGTGTTGTATAAGTCACAAGACTAGCACTTAGCTTCCCACCCTCTAGCGTCGGCGAAGACGAGTTCAGGCGGCGCTCGTTAATTCTGAACCACAAAACCGCTTCGAAAACGACGTTCACAGCCCCTCGAATCGAAGAAGGAGCGAGGACAAGGCAGGCGTCGCTTTTCAAGTTTCGATTCTCAAAGCAGCATTATCTAGGCGCACTAATGATTCCTGACGTCCCCTACACAAGCCGCGTTACCCAAACGGCAAATAACCCCCCGCTTGACATAAATCACGCCTCTACCCTATCCGACCCTTAACCGTTGTCCCCGCCGCCCGACCCACGCATGCGACTTAATTTGATGCATGCACATTCGCCAAAAAACTACCATAACTGCTGCACGGAAGTGAAGCGGTCTTCCCGTGAGCACATCTACCTGGCCACTGAAACGGTGGCCCGCAGTTTCCTCAACGGTGGAAAAACCTCGCGGGGCGATCGTTTTTCAAAGACGGCGATGCTAACCAGATAACCGCGTCCCACCCATCCTTTTCTCGAGGCAACCTCTTGTAGAGCTCGCTCACATGACCCCAACAGACCACAGACCACCGAAAAGAAACCGTACCGCAGACCGAACCAAACCGGATCACCCCACGAGCCACCCCACCCCTGCCGAGACCACAAATCCCGTCAGCAAGGACCCCATCTTGCTCCACCCGTTCTCCGGAGAAGCGAGCTCAGGCGGGAGAACCTCCATCAAGGAAACATAGAGGAAAGTTCCCGCCGCCAGCGCTACGCACACGGCACCGGCCGAGTCATCCTCGCCGTCCTTTTCGATGATGGCGCCCAGGAGGATGCCCAGGGGGGTCATGGCGGAAAAGGCGAGGACGAACAGGGTGACCTGCTTTCCGTGGACGCCGCTCTGGAGCAGGGAGGCGCCCAACGCGTACGCCGCGAGTCCCTGGTTTGAAGGAAGCATGGCGTTTTGTTTGGTGTGGGGCGGCGGGGGGGGGGG